CCCCAAAACCCCAAAACCCCAAAACCCCAAAACCCCAGAATTTATGCATTGTGTTGAATTATTTAGCCTTCGGTATTTTGCTCATTGGTTTTATTCTTCAGCATTTTGCTCTTTTGCAACAACCTTTTTCTGTTCATGGATAACTCAGTTTGTAAATTTTCACTATGGTTAGTGAAAACGTACTTTGGATAAAAGTTATTAGGACTTGGTGACTTTCGAGTATTTTCAGAGCCTTCCCTATCAGCGCTAATTGTTAATACTCATTTTTAAAGGATATTCAGGTAATTTACCACTCACAGTGGTTCTTTCTGATTCATTAATAGACTTTATATGCTTCTTTCTCGTTGATTTCTAAGAATATCATAAAAATATGTACCTTTACTGTAATATTTTCAATAGATTTTAACTCTTTCTGCTCTTCTTTGTGCCTGAATCCAGAATCTTCAGAGTCTAGTGCCATGTCATCATAGTCAAGATCATTGTCCTGGTACCTATAATAATATCTATGCAAATTACTGGGAATGATCTATGCCTTTGATCAACCTCAAAATTGAGGTATCATGGCTATGATCGAAGTCATTGTCAGTGATGTTGTCTCTGAAAGTTTCCTGATGTTCAAAGTTCACCTTATTTCTTCTTAATTATCTTCCGATCTTTCTCTGTAGGGAAATCCTTCTGGTATGAGATTATAGAAGTTTGCCTCATCATAGGATTTTCAGTATTATCATGATTACTAATAGATCCTTTCCTATTGTCTTCAGAGTATTCCACATCTGAGAAATGATCTTCAAGGTTTATCTTATTCCTTGCATTAGCATTGATCCCTTCACTTAGTGCTATGGTATAAGCTGAACTACTTACTTTTTCTTAGAGTGTCAAAGTTATCTTCTGAGTCGGATTTTTCGATATGAAAAAGTTCTTCAGATTCTTCATCAACTTCACTACTTGCATTATCGTCAATATGATTGCCCTTAGGAATGACTAATTCAGAAGCTTCACTCTTATTCTCTTCTTGGCCATCTTGTTCTTCATCTTGAGGATCATCACTGTCTTTTCCAAGGTTATTTCTTTATCTGAGCTTCTTGAACTAGGAAGAATAACTTCTTAAGACTTTTTGGAAAAACTCCTTTATTCTTGTTGGATGCTTTCTCAAATATTTTCTCAACTCTTTTATACTCTTCTTTAATGGGAAGAGGAGTTCTGTAGTTCGGATCATCCGAACACATATTTGGCTCATGGCCTATTTTATTTACATCATTCTCATTTGTGATTCTTTAGCCTGAGTTTTCTGTTCTCGGTAATCTCTTTGTCTGTCTCAGCTTTTGAGAAATCTTTATTAATGTGGAAATTGACTGTGCAGCCAGGATCTTCTTTATTTTTGCGGCCACAGCACCACCACATTTCTCCTGAATAAATCTTAGTGTGTCTGACACAAGACCACTTGAAGTTTTCATCTTCAAGGTATTCTTGTTCACAATTTCTGCAGATCCTTATCTTTGTGCTGAATGATTTTCGCTTTTTGATGTCAACGATTCGTTCTCGTAATTGGTCTACCAGTTAGCAGGAAACTTACCTTTCTCTTTAATATTAAGCTTGATGTCCTTGTCAAGCTGCACTAATTTTGCCTTATACTCTTCATTTTCCTAGAAGGTTAGAGAACCTTTACTTTAGACAGTTCGTTTACTTCCTTCGATTGTTGCTAATCATGGGTTAGAGAAAGATACCTTAATACGTAGCTTGGCTTCTTTGAGGAAAGCATTTTTTTCTTCATGTGCTTTCTTCCTCGCTTTGTTCATCTCCTCTAGATAGCCATCTCTGAGCTCAATCTTTTGGAGGAGGTCACTTATTTCAACTAATCCGCTTTGTTTATCAGCTTTTAGGCTATTTATTTCCCGACTCAAGGCTTCTATTTTTACTTTGAACTAAGAACATTAATTGCAAATGAATACTTCTAGTTCATGCTGTTGGAAATCTCCAAGAGTGTGAATGGCTTTGGTTAAAATATTTAGACGATCACCAATGATATCATTTTCCATTAGTAAGAGAGAATTTCTATGTTTGAGCTCAATTATGATATTCCTTTCTTTTTCATTGATAACTTTTAGAGCTTGTATTTGTTCTGCATACCTAAGGTAGAGTTTTATCGACTCATCTTAAACTCGTTCAGGATAATTTATAATCAAACAGATACATTATATACATCACAACTCTTCTAAAAATATCAAAAAATCCCATTCTTTTTCAACTCAAACTAAACTTCCAAAAGTCTATAATATACCTTATAGTGCAGAATCACATCCTAAACCCCTTAAAATATCTCTAAATTCCCCTCAGACCTCATCTAGCCCTAAAATACCTCAAAGAAGAATCTTGATTGCCTCTAATAATCTCCTTCAATTTCATAACCTGATTCCTCAAAATTTCTAAAATCTTTAACAAAAGGTCTCACTTTCTTCGCCTATAGTATATTAAAAAAGCTTTAAATTACCGTTTAGAGATTTGTTTTTTGCTTTTAGAGCTGATATTGTTTTCTAGAATTGAATTTAGAACTATGTGGGCTTTTGGAGAGACAATTTTTGATAAGTTTGAGTTGAATTGGGTTTACTTTGAGGATGAAATTTTGAGAAGAGAAAATTTTAGGTTTGTCTTTTGAGATCAGAGAATTCAGATTTTGATGCTGATTTTTGAGATTTTATGGATTCTAGAGAGGTTAGGGTGAGAGTACGGAGCTCAGTGTCTTTTTGAGTAAGTTGAGATTTTAGTGAGTCGATGTCTTTTTGTAACTCATCTACTATTTCTAACTGTCCCATCACTATAGCAAAGCTTTATACCAAAATGACTCATTACGTTTAAGAAATTTTTATCTTTCAATATACTTATTTAAATTTTAAAAATAACTTACCTGAATTAACATCAATTTGAAGCTTTTTCTTTGATTTTATCATTGGAAGTAAATAATCTTGAATCACTTTTGCAGCAACTATAGTATAAATCAGCTCTATTGCTCCTAAACCAATACCTCTGGGGTCCTGCGTGATCTCTTTCCCAATTGTATCTGCATGACTCTTCATGTTAGATGAAGACTTTTATTTTATAAAAACCAATTTTACTAATTTTATTAGGGGTTTTGGGGTTTTGGGGTTTTGGGGTTTTGGGG